GGCAAGAGCTCTGGTAGCAGTGCCTAAGGCACTTGACTGCTAACCAGAAGGCTGGCGGTTCAAACCCACCAGCCACTTCTCGGAAGGAAGATGTGGCAATCTACTTCCGTAGTGATACTGCCTCGGAAACCAAAGGAGGGGTTGCTATGAGTCGGGTCTGACTTGACGGCACATAACAACAACAACAACAACATATTCCAGGCACCTAGCTTGGCACATAGTAGATATTCAATAAATGCATTTTAATTGAGTGAGTGAAAATATTCTGATCCTTTCCATTAAAATTATGTCATAAAAATGTCCATATCATTAAATTCATGTCATTATTTTCCTTGTAAACACATACTGATATAGTTGCCTGGTAGTCCACTGTATTTAATTAATTCTCAGTATTGGATATTTAGGAGCTCTGGTAGTGTAGTGCCTAAGGTAATTGACTGCTAACCAGAAGACTGGCGGTTCAAACCCACTAGCCACTCCTCGGAAGGAAGATGAGGCAATCTGCTTCCATAGTGATACTGCCTTGGAAACCCAAGTAGGGGTTGCTATGAGTCTGGTCTGACTCAATGGCAAATAACAACAATAATTGGATATTTAACTGGATTTTTTTTTTTTTAAATTTCTAGCTTTTGCCATGAAATAATATGATTGGAATTCTTATATATAAATTTTGGGCTGCATCTGTGCTGGGAAAGCCCGCTAATACACTTCTGAATGTGGGAATCCTGGGAAAAGAAATGGACTTTTATTTCAAAATCTTTTGTCAAATTTGCTTCCCAGAAGATTGTACCAATTTACATTCTCACCAGGAGGATGTGAGTGTATTTGTCTCACCACAGTCTCACCAATATTATGTTATCTTACATATATATATATAAATTTGATTAGTTTAGAATAATAGAATGCACTGTAGAGTTATTATCAAGACTAAGCAGTTTTCATTTGTTTATTGGTCATAAAAATTAAAATAGTAATATTAATTAATTAATATTAAAAAAAATAAAAAGAGATGTCTTCTGTGAACTGTCCAACTCATATCATCTACCCATTTATCTGGTGGGCTGTCTTTTTCTTACATGTAAAATATTCTAGTCCATTGTGTTAGTTGCAAATATTTTATCCCAAATTATTATTCATCTTTTAGTGTTGTTTATAGTTTGGTCTGATTTTGGTTGTTGTGGTTATAGTCTGTATGTTTACACACAGAAAATCTTAATTTTATATGTATGTGTGGTAGCAACTCTCACCTCCTTCCCTTGTTGCCCCCAACTTAGACCCCTTCCCTCTAGCCAACTCTGACTGCTTACAGGAGGCAAGAGGATTTAGTGCTTAAGAATATCGTCTCTGATGGCCAAAAATCATTTGAAAAGATGCTTGGTATGATTAGTCATTGTTGTTGTTGTGATGTGCCGTGGAGTCGGACCCGACTCATAGTGACCCCTCCTTGGAGTTCCACGGCAGTATCTTTATGGAAGTAGATCGCCCAACCTTCCTTCCGAGGAGTAGCTGGTGGGTTTGAACTGCCAGCCTTCTGGTTAGCAGTCAAGTGCCTTAGGCACTATGCTACCAGAGCTCCCTGATTAGTCATTAAGAAGATACAAATCAAATCCACAATGAGATACTATTCACCCCCACTAGAATTGTTATGATCAAAAAGATGAAAAAAGGCGGGTGTTGATAAAAATGTGGAGAAATTGAAACCCTCATCCATTGGTGGGAATACAAAGGGGTGCAGCTGCTGTGGGAAACAGTTTGGTGGTTCCTCAGAAAAGTAAAGAACTACCATATGGCCCAGAAATCCTAGGTATATATACACCCAAATGAATTGAAAGCAGGATGCAAACAGAAGAACTCTATACCCCAAAGGCCACTGCAGCACTGTTCACAGTTGCCAGCGGTTAGAAGCAAGGTAAATGGCCATCAGCAGCTGGATGGATAAACGAAATGTGGTATATATGTATAATGAATGATATATTCCAAAAACCAAAAAAACCAAACCCACTGCTATTGAGTCAATTCTGACTCATAGTGACCCACATTGGGTTTCCAAGGCAGTAAATTTCTATGGAAGTAGATTGCCCAGTCTTCCTTCCATGGAGTGGCTGGTGGGTTTGAACTGCTAACCTTCTTCTGGTTAGCAGTCAAATGCCTTAGGCCTACACCACTTGTTGTTGTTATGTGCCGTTGAGTCAGACCCGACTCATAGCGACCCCTCCTTGGGTTTCCGAGGCAGTGGCACTACAGAAGTAGGTTGCCCAATTTTCCTTCCAAGAAGTGGCTGGTGGGTTTGAACCGCCAGCCTTCTGGTTAGCAGTCAAGTGCCTTAGCCACTGTGCTACCAGAGCTCCCGCACCACTAGAGTTCCTTAATGAAATATTACTCAGCTATAAAAAGAAATGAAGTCTTGCTACATGCCATAACATAGATAAATTTTGAAAACGTTATTCTGAGTGACTAGCTTCCCTCGACTTATGCCTGTTTTCTCAGCCTGGTACTTCAACCCTTTCCAGTGGATTTTGGGAGCTCCCCTCCCCAATCTTTCTAATATATCCCTTTTTGAGAGCCAGAGTTAGTTTCTATTGTTTGTAAACAAGAACTCCTATTGGTACCTGTAGCACTTTCACTTCTTGATTCAATCCTAAGAAAATCATCAGGAACCCAAGCATAGATTTAGGCACATATAGCTCTGGTAGCATAGTGCCTAAGGCACTTGACTGCTGATCAGAAGGCTTGTGGTTCAAACCCACCAGCCACTGCTCAGAAGGAAGGTTGGACAATCTACTTCCGCAGTGATACCGCCTCGGAAACCCAAGGAGGGGTCACCATGAGTCAGGTCCAACTTGAGGGCACATAACAACCAACAATAACAACATGCATATCACAGGGTTTATTGTCACAAAGGATTGAGTAGTAGTCCAAATGGCCAACAATAAGGAGATAGTTACATAAGCTATAATATGTCCATAAAATGGAATATTTTAAACTCAGATTCCTTAAAAGGAACTTCTTCCCCATTGTGTTGTCAGAAATTTCAGAATCTCATTTTATTCTATTATCAGCTGCGAGTATATGAATATCTCTACTTTTCACTTCTCTGCTTTGTTCTGACACTTCTTTTTCCGACCCTAGCCACCCAGACCTACCTCAGATCTCACAAACTGCCAAATGGGCAAATATAGCTATAAATTGGGTGGTTCACAAGACGCTCTGAACTACTGGCTACAAATCCTGGGTTTCCCTCTACCCATTCAGGATGCCAGCTGCAAGTTCAGTGCCCCCTGGGCTCCCTCACTTCTGACCCTCTGGCTCCTACCACTCCTTTGGGTTATAGAATTCTCTGGAATGACTCACAGAACTCACAGAAAGTACTATCTTTATGATTACAGTTTTATGATAGCAGAAAAGAGATGCCTAGGGCAAGGTCTGGGAGGGTTCTCAGCAAGCTTTTATCTCCAAAGGACACACTACCCTTCCACTTGCAACTATGTCTTTTACCAACCAGAAAGCCAATAGAGCCTATGTGCCCAGGGCTTTTTTTGGCTTCATTTTGTAGTCATGATTGACTGGATCAGCCTTCCTTTCTCTCTTGAGATTAGCTGATATCAGGCCAGGTGGTGGGCTTTCTGGTCAGGTCAGCCCCTCATTAGCATAAACCCCGAGGCATTGTCTAGATAGCAAAGACACTTTTTAATTATTCAGGAAAAAAACAAGATTTTAGAGTTATCCCTCAGGAAACAAACAAATTCCGGTCGTGCAGTGCCTACGGTATTTGACTGTTAACTAGAAGGTTGGTAGTTCAAACCTACCAGCTCCTCTGCAGAAAGAAGATGGGGCAATCTACTTCCGCCACCTTGAAAAACCAATGGAGGTAACTGTGAGTTAGACTCAACTTCATGGCAGTGAGTTTGGTTTGATTTTCTCAGGAAACAAAGGCAAAGACCAAATTATTTTGGGTAAAGTTAAAATCTTTACCCTATAACCACTTACTTTAAGAAAAATAGTGGGAAAAGTTAGGAAACAGTTGTATATATAGTACGCTTTCAACTATGTGAAATACTGTCTCTTTCTATATTCATGGAAAAAAAAAAAAACTAGAGGGAGATGCAATACCATTTTGTGTAATAGAGCTATGGCTATTTTCACTTTTTTCTTTAGGCTGTGCAGCATGGCCAAAAGATCATGAGCTGTGGAATTCAGTAAATCTGGGTTCAACTCCCACTTCTGCCAGTCACTGTGATGGGCAAGTTATTCTACCTCCTGTCTTTGCAAAATTATGATTATGCTTACTTCATAAGGTTATCCTGAGGATTCAAACAAATGAGATTATATAGCAAGTACTCAGTACAGTGTCTGGCACAGAGTATGTGTTCAATAAATGGTAATTTATTGTTTTTGCTTTTTGGTAATTTCCAGGTTTTACAATGAGACATATTTAAAATTGAGAAAAAACTAACCATTAAAAGAACATTACTGTTTTGTGTATTTCACTGTACATAAATTATATTTCAATAAAATATATTAAAAAAAAAGAAGAAGAAGATTGCTGTGCAGAGATAATCATATCTCCTCCATGAAAGGAAGATGAGGCATCTATTTCCATAAAGATTTATTGCCTTGGAAACCCAATGAGGGTCACTATGAGTTAGACTCCACTTGATGGCAGTGGGTTTTGTTTGGTTTGGTCAGTCTCCTTGCCAGCCCCTATCAACATATTGCCTAGTCTCAAGGAGGATCTGGGCCAGGAGTCAGGAGCCAAAGATATTCAGGCCAGTGATACTACCATTTTTTCTTTATCTTGGTGACCTACCCACTCTGGGCCTCAATTATAAGTGCAGGAGTTAGTTTGAATCATCTTAAAATGTCTCTCCCTCTCTGATATTCTGTGACTTTTAAGCCTTTTGTGCAGTCTCCTCCTCAGACGGAGAATGTCCTTTCTAACCTCACTTCCCCTCACCCAGGATCCTTGCCATAGTAATCCTAAAAGTATTTTTCTTTCTCAGAGTTATGGATCCTGTTTTTAGCCTATGAGCTCTCACAGTTCAGAGAAAAACCTGAGTTTTTAATGCAGGATGTCAACAAATATTACGTAATGATTTTAGATGCCTTATGGTAAAACCTTTGAAAACAATTCAATTTCCATGTTCCTGTCCCCAGATGCTCTTTTTCTACAAGAAGGAAATAATGGAAAGATGGAAAGTCCTTCATGGGCTTTCAAAGAGGCAAGGGCATGGCTTTGGGAGCTGGTATCTGGGTTGCAGTTTTGCATTCTCTTGGTAGAAAACACAGAGAGAAGCTTCAGGTGGTCAGTGACCTACTGGGTACTCACTCCATGTCAAGACCCACAACACTGGGGCTCCAACCAGCGTGTAGGCCCTCCAGGTACCTGGACAGAAAGCCTACTGTGCTATGATTGATCTGACCTAGTCCTCTTCCTTCCTGTTTTGCAGACCATGGGAGATGTGAAGCTGGTTCCTTCAACACACGTTTCCAAAACCTCGCTCAGCGTGGATCACTCAAAAGTCAACTCCATGCCCCTGACTGAAGCCCCTGCTTTCATTTTGCCCCCTCGGAATCTCTGCATCAGAGAAGGAGCCACTGCAAAGTTTGAAGGGAGGGTAAGACACGCAGCTGGATGTGGAGGGAGGACAAAGCAGGAGTCATTGTTCCTCTCAAGCTTTTCCTTGACAGGCTGGATCTGGGAGAAGGCTTGATTTTCCTTCAGATCTATATATAAAGTTAAACAAATACCAGTTTGCTTATTTCTTTTGTTTACGGTGGGCTTTGGTCTGTGTTGGAGATCTCGGGATGGGCAGATGTTTTGCTGATGGACCTGTCATATCTTTTACCTGAGGAAGGTTGCAGGGGAATGTTGGTGGTACTCCTGAAGGGTCTGTTTCTTCTCTCTGGGCACTACCAGGATAAGGGTTCTTTTCTATTGTTCTGAGACTCCCATCCTCTCATCCCCCAACTAGCAGGAAAGAGACATGAAGAATTCCTGGGGCTCAGCTTACCACAAAAAGGAATGAAGTACTGATACATGCTACAACATGGATGAATCTTGAAAACATTATGTTAAATGAAGGAAGCCAGATACAGAGTCCAATTGTATGATTTCATTTATATGAAACATACAGAATATGTTATAAAGTATGTATATGTATAAAGACAGGAACATCTGTCTTTATAAATCTGTGAAGACAGAAGGTAGATTAGTGGTTACCTGAGCTGAGAAGAGAGGGATGGGGAATAATGCTAATGAGTACAGGGTTTCTTTGTGGTGATGAAAATGTTCTGAAATTAGACAGTGGTGGGAGTTGTACAACTTTGTGAATATACTTTAAAAACCTGAATTGAGTACTTGAAAAATAAAAGTTAAACTTAAGAAAGTAATGTATGGGTTAAATAGCAAAACTGACCTTATCTACATAACCCCCCTGCCTCCCTACTGCATCTGTGACATGAACTCCCTCTTCATATTCAGACAAGCAAAAGCTGCTTTAATAGAAATACCACAAGTGGATAGCTATAACAGACAGAAATTTATTCTCTCAAATTTATTCTCATCAGTTTAGAAGGCTGAAGTCTAAATTCAAGGTGCTAGTGGTACGCTTTCTCTCTCTGTTAGCTCTAGAGGAAGACCCTTGTCTACTTTCAACATCTGTGAGCCCAGTGTTCCTTGGAGATCTCCATGTGTCTTGGTGTCAATCTTCCCATGGGTTTAGGAGGTTCTCAGCACAGGGACTCTGGGTCCAAAGGACGAGTTCTTCCCAGCTCTTATTTTTTGATGGTGGTAAGATCCCTCCCCTTTCTGCTTACTTCTCTCTCCTTTTATCTCTTGTAAGATAAAAGGACTTAAGCAAGGGTATAACTTAAGTAAGGGTGGGACTTGAGTAAGGGTGGGACTTGAATATGGGTGTGACTTGAGTCATGCCCTATTATAAGGCTGTTACTCAAGATATACCCTGCCTCATTGACATATAGACATTAGGATTTACAGCATATAAAATGGAGGATAATTACAACTGATCAAAAAGTGGAGGACAACTACGCAATATTGGGAAGCATGGCCTAGCCAAGCTGACACATATTTTGAGGGGACATAATTCAACTCATGACACTTCCTTATATCATAGTGATGACTTGTTTCCTTTGCTGACCTTGGAGGTCATAAAGAAAACATACTTTTGAGTTATTTGATTTGCAACTTCCTGAAGGGGGACCTGGTGGAAGGAATGTTGGCCCAAGAGTCAGTGCACTGGAGTTCTTTTTCTTGTGCAGTCATCCTTTGGGGCAAAAGTGAATACAGGTTTTCTCATCTGAAGAAAAGAAATTGGTTTTGTCTGTGTTTCTGGTCTACAAGAGTATGAGAAGAAAATAAGTCAGTAGATAGTAAAAGTATTGTTGTTGTTGTTATGTGCCGTGGAGTCAGACATGACTCATAGCGACCCCTCCTTGGGTTTCCAAGGCGATATTACTACGGAAGTAGAGTGCCCAACCTTTCTCCTGAGGAGTGGCTGGTGGGTTTGAACTGCCAGCGTTCTGGTTAGCAGTCAAGTGCCTTAGACACTATGCTACTATATAAAGTAAAATAAAAGTATAATGATGCAGTATTACTATAACATTTTTTATGTGAAGATTTTATTTGATGAAATAATTGGTTTTGTATATTGCATGTAGGATATATGTTGAAAATGAATGTAATCCTTAAAAGTCAGCCTGCAAGTACCTCTTTACCACTCACAACTTGAACAGAATTAACCTAGAGCAACACCTTGAGGGTGTATAAGGACTGGTATAGAGCAAGTACAGAAGAAAACTTCCTCCAGAGAGATGTTCGGAAGGAGTGTCTGCCTCCATCTGACTGCATACAGCTAGAAACTTGGAAGGAAAGACCGAAAAGGAGAATGCCAAGTTGATTTCTACTCATGGCAACTCCATGTGTGTCAGAGTAGAACTGTGCTCCATGGGGTTTCCAGTGGCTGATGTTTCAGAAGTAGATTTTCACACCTTTCTTCTGAGGTGGCTCTAGGTGGACTGAACCTCCAACCTTTCAGTTAGCAGCTGAGCACATTAACCATTCATACCACCCAGGGACTCTGCTCTGTGAATAAACCCTCCAGGAAACCTACTGCCATTGAGTCCTTTCTGACCCACAGCGACACTATAGGATAGTGTGGAACTGAACTAGCATGCTATAATCGTGTATTGTTGTTTTAATAAAGGATACAAAAGAGAAGTTTTGCATCAGGGAAGGACTACCTCAAATGACTGCAGAATGAAAAAGCTGGTTGTTTGATACCACAAGAGGAGATTGAACAGGTGTGATTCTGACCCGGTGACCTATGTTGTTGTTGTTGTTGTTATGTGCCGTCGAGTCGGCCCCGACTCATAGCGACCCCTCCTTGGGTTTCTGAGGCAGTATCACTACGGAAGTAGGAATGCCCAACCTTCCTTCCGAGGAGTGGCTGATGGGTTTGAACCGCCAGCCATCTGGTTAGCAGGCAAGTGACTTAGCCACTATGCTACCAGAGCTCCTTGGTGACCTATAGAGAAGTGAAAAAGAAAGGTGCTGTTAACCTGTAATGACATAGACTTTGTGCAAGGAGTGCTAGTTTTAAAAGACTGATTTCCAAATGGGGTTACCCACCAAGAATAATTTACAGTGCTCTGCCTCCAGAGTGCCTTAATCATAGGTGCTGCAGCCACATGGCCATGCCTGCTGCCGACCCACCTACCCCCAGGCCTTAGGACATATCCTCTTCCTAAATGCCCATTCTGTATTAGTTCTGCTGTCACTTTCACAGTGACTTTGACACTCAGCTCTCTAGTAACAGGGCTTTTGTAGAATTTCCTTGGGTGAATGACTTTTAACATTAAGCCTTCAAGCTACATCTCAGGCCCAGGCTGGCCCCCATTGTAACCAAAAACCCAAACTCACTGCCTTCGAGTCCATCCCGACTCGTAGTGACCCTTCCTTGGGTTTCCAAGGCTGTATCTTTACAGAAGTAGATTGCCCAGTCTTCCTTCAGAGGAGTGGCTGGTTCAAACCCACCAGCCTTCTGGTTAGCAGTCAAATGCCTTAGGCATTACACCACCAGAGCTCTCAACCCCCACTGTAGCCTAGAAGAATCCTTTTATTCCTTGCCACAGCCCTCAGGAAGGCTGCTTGCTCTCCTCCCCTCCTGTCTTTAATCTTGCTGCCACCCTCTCAAGCCTGGATGTGGAGAATACAGGGACTTCCCAGCTTCTTCTGAAGGGGGCACAGAGACCCTCCCATCACTGTAGAGAAACACAGTAGAGACCACAGATACAAAGAAGTGTAAAGGTTTGTCCCTCATTGCCTTCTAAGCTAGTAATTGGAAATTGGTTCAAACTTGTTTTTATTCTTGAAAGAGATAAATCTGTTACTGCCCTGTCCCCAATTCCTTTTTATTCCCATTTTTATGCAAAGAACTTAATGGGGAGGGGTGGAGTGTGGGTTAGGGTTGGATATGGTAAATGGGAAATGAAACTAAATGTACACGTAATGTTGAATGTAAAGCAAGCTCTTAAAATAAAATAAAAGAAGACTGGAATGGCATTAAGGTAAGACTGCCACTCCTTGGAAGGAAGGTTGGGCAATCTACTTCTGTAGTGATACCGCCTCGAAAAACCAAGGAGGGGTTGCTATGAGTTGGATCCAACTCCACAGCAGTGGGAAAGGAGCTCTGGTGGTGTAGTGGGTAAGGCATTTGGCTGCTAACCAGAAGATCAGCGGTTCAAACCCACCAGCTGCTCTGTGAAAGGATGATGAGCAATCTACTTCTGTAAAGATTTACAGGCTTAGAAACCCAAGGAGGTGTTGATATGACTTGATGGCAGTGGGGTTGATTTTTTTTGTTTTATAGGTGTCCCCTTGTGGTCTTCCCCCCCCCCCCCGGAAACGTAACAAATTATGAGATGTTCATTCGTCTTTGGATTTCAGTCCCTTACTCCCATTTGAGTTTTTCTACCTTGTAGCAGATACTTTGAACAGCCAACTCATTACCAGTCTCCTTTGTCCTTACCCTTTCCCTCTCTAGATGCCACTATAGAGGCTTCCTTTGCAGCTACGGGTGGCCCAGTACACATTCTGGCCAAAGTCTACCAGAGAGCTTCTGTGAAAGCTCTTGCTTTTCTGATTTAAAAAAAATTAAAACTATCCCAGCACCTCGGAAGGAAGGTTGGGCAATCCTACTTCCATAGTGATACTGCCTCGGAAACCCAAGGAGGGGTCGCTATGAGTCGGGGCTGACTCGATGGCAAACAACAACAACAACAGCACTCTCATGTTCCACGCTGCCCTCCTTCCTGCTTTGAATTCAGATGCAATGCCTGGTGCTTAAGCAGCCATAGTAAAACCATGAGGCAACAAGCCACAGAGGGAGCATAAAGGACCACGGTCAAGGCACAAAAGTTCTAATGCTTAAAGACTTTCCCAGATAGGTTCTTTGACTGTGGCTATTCACACAGGGACTATTACAAAATGCACAGATGACCCTTGAACAACACTGGGGTTAAGAGCACTGACCCTCTGCACAGTCAAAAATCCACATAAAACTTTTGACTCCCCACAAATTTAACTACAAGTAGCCTACTGTTGACATGGAGCCTTATCGATAACATAAATAGTGAATTAATGCAGTTCTTGCTGTACAGGTACTAGATTTTCACACAAAGACATACACAACAGGTAAATTTATTAACTGCACATTATGGTAATTGTTTACAGTTCATTAAGTGGAAGTGGGTCATCTTAAAGGTCTTAATCCTCATTGTCTTCACACTGAGTAGGATGAGGAGGAGGAAGAGGAGGAAGAGGAGGTTGGTCATGCTGTCTGGGGGCGCAGAGGCAGAAGAGGTGTCCGAAGTGGAAGAGGGAAGCAGGAGAGGCAGGCACACTCAGAAATACTTCATAATTTTTGTCTGACTTTTTTTTGTTTTTTCATTTCTCTAAAAATGTTTCTATACAGTACCAATCCTTCTTGCACCATTTGTGTTAGTTTTAGTGCCCATATCATAGAAGGGTCTATGTCATCAAAGAAGTCAGAAGTGGTCTTGAATAAATTGGAAACTTTCTGCTGGATTGTTCTAATTGTTCTAAGGGTCCATGTCATCAAAGAAGTCAAAAGTGGTCTGGAATAAATTGGAAACTTTCTGCTGGATTGTTTTCCAGCACTGCTTCTTCTACATTTTCTTCCTCATTGTCTGGCACTGGTTCATAAGCATTCATCTCTATCAAGTCGTCTTCTGTTAACCCCTCTGGTGTGGTGTCTATTAGCTTTTGAATTTCTCCAAGATCTATATCTTGAAAAAAAAATCTGCTTATAAGTGGACCTATGTAGTTCAAATCTGTGTTATTCAAGGATCAACTGTATTCCTAATTAAATGAACACCTAATGTGATGCACATGGAGATATCAATCTCCTTACGTGATGGGAATAAATAGGGGAGAAGATATAATACAGAGAAGACTTAATAAATCCTTTAAGAGTTTTACCCAAATCTACCAATAGTGATGGCAGTGCCTATAGTTAAAGCATTCTAGATGAGTTTACTCCTTCCTAACTTTGGACCTTTGGCTTGAACCAACAGTGTCCAGGATTTATGAGAAGATGTCAACCATATGAGATTGGTGATGAGATAATGTCATTATAGAGGGGGAAAAAAAAAAAAACAACTACTGCCATCAAGTCAAATTTGACTCATAGTGACCCCCTTTGGGGTTTCCAAGGTGGTAAATCCTTACTGAAATAGATTGCCCAGTCTTCCTTCCACAGAGTAACTGGTGGGTGTGAACTGCCAACCTTCTGGTTAGCAGTCAAATGCCTTAGGCACTATACCACCAGAGCCCCTTCATTATAGAGCAACTAATATTAAATCAGGGTCTGTCAGCCCAAAGTTTGAAGAGATTATATTCTCAGGAATTAGTACAATCTTGGCTTTACATCTCATCAGTAGCACATTTATACAGGGCTTCAGACTGGAATGAACTGATTCAACTGATTTTAGACTCAAGCACCCAGAGCCCCTGCCCTGAGCCTACACTCTAAAAGCCCCTATTCCTTGTCCAGCTACACCCACTCCACAGAGCAGGGGACTTGGTCTGTCATCCCAATGGGAGCCAACACTGCTCTTCCACGTTCTAGATAGCCAGGACCCCAGAATTCTCTACCAATTGGTCCTGAGCCCACTTCTAAGGTCTGTGCAGGCCACTTCCCATGAGAGGGTGTTGCTAGGCCTGAGGGGGTGGTCAAGGGGCAGTGTGTTTACTTGGGGAGATGAGGAAAGGAAGAGATGAAACTTGAATGTGGGGTTCTGCTGTCCACCCACATGCGTTACAGGACCCCCACAGTGCAGGATGGAAGAGAAGCATGCAGGACTGTGCCATTGCCCTGGTGTGTATTGTTAGGTCTCCGGGGTACCTAGAGGCTTATGTTTATAGATAGCCTGGATCCCCCAAGTTCAGGGGCTGTCTGAAGCTCCTCTAGCTGTTCTCTTCCCATGCAGGCATCTGAAGCTTTGATGGGCTGCTTCCACCACACAGAGTCATATAGAACCAAGGGAAATGGTGGGGAAAATACTAAAACTACTGGAGATTTCTTCTCTTCTGCCCTGAAATTCATTCTTATCAGGAAAAGCAAATATGGTGATTGGCTCTGACTGCTGTGTATCAGAGGAGCTGAGACTTTAGCGCCTCATAGGAAGTAGCTCAAATGGGGTTTCAGACAAGACTATGGTGTTTATTGAAATAGACTTCAGAATAAAGAGCTAACCTGTGGTGGTTGTTGTTAGGTGCTGTCAAGTCGTCTCTGACTCATAGCTACCCTGGGCACAGCAGAACGAAACACTGCCTGGTCCTGTGCCAGCCTTACCATCCTTGCTATACCTGAACCCATTGTGGCAGCCACTGTATCAATCCATCTCATTGAGGGCCTTTTCCCTTCTTCGTTAACCCTCCACTTTACCAAGCATGATATCCTTCTCCAGGGAATGGTTCATTCTGACAACATGACCAAAGTAGGTGAGATGAAGTCTGGCCATTCTCGCTTCCAAGGAGCATTCTGGCTGCACTTCTTCCAGGACAGATTTGTTAGTACTTTTTTAGCAGACCATGGTACTCTTAGCATTCTTCTGGTATTCTTTACATTCAGCTAAGATCCATCAGCATGAGAAATGATGAGTGTGTTCTTCCTTTTTGGTGTTCTATCTCCAGGTCTTTGCACATTTCATTATAGTAATTGGCTTTGTCTTCTCAAGCTGCTCTTTGAAATCTTCTGTTCAGCTCTTTTATCTTGTCATTTCTTCCATTTAGTTTAGCTTCGCTCTGCTCAAGGGCAATTTTCAGAGTCTCTTCTGACATCCATTTTGGTCTTTTCTTCCTTTCTTGTCTTTTTAATGATCTCCTGTTTTCTTCACGGATGATGTTCTTAATGTCATCCCACAGTTCTTCTGGTTTTTGGTCATTGGTGCTTAATGCATCAAATCTATTCTTTAGATGGTCTCTAAATTCAGGAGGAATATTATTGAGGTCATATTTTGGCTGTCATATACTTGTTTTAATTTTCTTCCATTTCAACTTGAATGTGCATAAGAGCAGTTGATGGTCTGTTCCACAATCAGTTCCTGGCCTTGTTTTGGCCAGATATTGAACTTCTTCATTGCCTCTTGACACAGCTGTAGTCAATCTGCTTCCTGTGTATTCCATCTGGTGAAGTCCATGTTTATAGGCATTGCTTATGTTATTGAAAAAAGATATTTGCAATTAATAAGTCATCGGTCTTGCAAAATTCTATCATGCAATCTCCAGTAACATTTATATCACCAAGGCTATATTTTCCAACTACTGGTAACTCTTCTTTGTTTTCAACTTTTGCATTCCAGTCACCAGTGATAATCAACACATCTTGATTTCATGTTTGGTCATTTCAGACTGCAGAAGTTCGTAGAAATCTTAGTTTCTTCATCTTTGGCTTTGGTGGTTGGTGCATAGATTTGAATAACAGTATTAACTGGTAGTATTAACTGGTCTTCCTTGTAGGCATATGGATATTATCTTATCACTGACACCACTGTATTTCAGGACAGATCTTGAAACACTCTTTGTGATGATGAATGCCGCACCATTACTTTTCAATTTGTCATTCCCAGCATAGTAAACCATATGGTTGTCTGATTTGAAATGGCCAAAACCAGTCCACTTCAGCTCACTAATGCCTAGGATATCAATCTTTTTGCATTCATTTCATTTTTGACAATTTCCAATTTTCCTAGATTCATACTTCATACATTCCATGGTCCAATTATTAATGAATGTTTGCGGCTATTTCTACTCATTTTGAGTCATGCCACATCAGTCAATGGAGGTCCCAAAAGTTTTACTCCATTCATATTGTTAAGGTTGTCCCTGCTCTGAGAAGGCAGCTCTTCCCCAGTCAAATTCTGAGTGCCTTCTGACCTGATGGGCTCATCTTCCAGCACTATATCGGACAATGTTTCAGGGCTATTTAAAATTTTCCCATAGTATATCAGACAGTGTTTCACTGCTATTCATAAGGTTTTCACTGGCCAGTTGTTTGAGAAGTGGATGGCCTCTTCCTTCTTCCAAGTCAGTCTTTGACTGGAAGCTCCACTGAAACCTGTCCACTGTGGGTAACCTGCTGGCCTTTTGTGACATGGGTTGTATAGCTTCCAGCATCACAGCACCTAAGCCACCACAGGAGGACAAACTGACAGACAAGGGGTTAGTTGTTCCTAACCCCTCTGCACCTGCCTTCTTTGGTCCCCAGCCTTAAAATAGAGTCGCCCCAAGCAAAAAGCAGCCCCCAAGCCCTGGGCTGACTTACCTTGGGCTCCAGCCTTAAAATAAAGCTACCCCCAAGAGAAAAGCAGCCCCTGAGCCCCAGGCCCACCTACCTCAGGCCCTGACATTAATATAGAGCCACCCCCAGTGAAAAGCAGCCCCCCGAGCCCTGGGCCCACCTACCTCAGGCCCCAGTCTTAAAACAGAGCCACCTTCAAGCGAAAAGCTGCCCCTAAGCCCCGAAAGGGCTAATGTAGGCCTTACAAAACAGGAGCTCTGGTGGCATAGTGATAAGGTACTCAACTGGTAACCAGAAGGTCAGCAGTTCAAATCCACCAGCCACTCTGTGGAAGGACGATGGGGTGATCTACTTCTCATAAAGATTTACAGCCTTGGAAACCCAAATGGAGGTTGCTATGAGTCGGAAACGACTCAATGGCAGTGAGTTTGATTTGGTTTTTGGAGGCCTTACAAAAGCATGTGTATGTGTAGGCTGTTGGGATGGAAGAAGGGACCATGAGAAGGAAGACCTGACATGTAACAGCCTGAATAGTTACTCAGTTTCCAATTTAACCGTAGCAGCACTCTTCTCCCAATAACTTCTTCCCTATTCACTTCTAGTTCAGAAGCAGTTGGCTACTATGTTTAGCACTTTGAAAAATTTGAAGTATCTGGCCTTCCTTCTGTCCTCAAAAGTTAATAGAGTGGTTCTGGAAAAATACATGCATATAAAACAGCAGGGTATGACAGTTTGTAATTAGTTGCTTGAATTATTTCAATAAGTAGTTTGTAATATAGGAATTTAGAGATTAAGATGAGATTTGGAGTGACCTAAAAACTGGTTTCCTGCTTCCTGGCTTCTTTCTAGTTTACAATTTCTACTGCTGATCTTCCTAAAATGCAAGTCTGACTATGCCACCCCCGGCTTAATATCGTTGAACCTGGATGGCTTTTCACAGGCCAACATTCTTCAGCACTGTGTAAAAGACTTTTTTATGATCAGCCCCTAACCCTCAGTCTGTCTCTTTGCCCTCCTTTCCTCCCTCTAACATAGCCCTAATTCCTGGCTCTGCTAACCCCACCCGCACATATCTAATACAGCTACTCTGTCCTCATATCACCTTTGT